TCTGCTTTTTCACTCTTTGGTGAGTGATGGCTTAGCTCCTGAGCAGGTGGGAGATGGCAGGGGTTGGGTTCCTAATAAGATCTGGACCAAGGAAATCAGGTCTGGACCAACCTAGGATGTTTTTCCAGTTAGAGTCCCTGGGGCTCAGCTGCAGTGACAGCTCATTGGCTTAAGAAACAGAAAAATCTTAGCATAGCACAGTGGACTTCTTCCAAATTATCCTAAAGCAGAGAAGGTGTGTTAGGGTGGGTGAGGATGAAATTGTAAACGGTGTGGCCAAGGTAGGCTTCCCTGAGAAGGTGACATTTAAGTCAAAATATGAAGGAGGTGAGAAGCAAAGCCAAGTGGCTCACTGGGGGAAGGGCATTCTAGGCAGATGGATCAGCAAGCGCAAAGGATTGGAACAGGAAATGTGCCTGGGGTGTTCGAGGGGGCCAACGTGGTTGAAGTGGGGGAGTGAGGAGGAGAGAAGCAGATCAGTTTAGGATACTGCAGGCCAGGTCATGCAGAGCTCTGAAGGGAATTGTAAGGACTTTGACTCTTTTTTTTTTTTATTGCATTTTAGGTTTTGGGGTACATGTGAAGAACATGCAAGATTGTTGCATAGGTACACACATGGCAATGTGGTTTGCTGCCTTCCTCCCCTTCACCTATATCTGGCATTTCTCCCCATGCTATCTCTCCCCAACTCCCCACCCCCCGCTGTCCCTCCCCTATTTACTCCCAACAGACCCCAGTATGTAGTGCTCCCCTCCATGTGTCCATGTGTTCTCATTTTTCAACACCCACCTATGAGTGAGAACATGCGGTGTTTTATTTTCTGCTCTTGTGTCAGTTTGCTGAGAATGATGGTTTCCAGGTTCATCCATGTCCCTACAAAGGACACGAACTCATCATTTTTGATGGCTGCATAATATTCCATGGTGTATATGTGCCACATTTTCCCTGTCCAGTGTATTGACTCTTAATGAACTGGAAGCCTCTGAAGGATTTTGAGCCCAAGATTGGCATGCTCTTGAGTTCACCATGTCTGAGTCTTCTTCTCAACTGCACGATTTGCTGCTTGACAGGGAGAGTACTTTGTCCTGTGACCTCCCTTGCTTCCCTCAGGCAAGTACAGCTCTAGACTTTTAACACTTTTGCCTTGCCCTTCTCTATGACTGGGTGCAGTGAGGTAGCACCTTATCAGCACTGTCTTCCTTCTTTCGCTGAGGACAAGTCCATGGTCCCTTATTATTTTTCAGTATTTTATTTCTCATTGTGGAAAACTAGGTTTTTTTTTTATGCCAAAATAATTTATTAATTTGTCATTCTGCTAAAAAGTGACAGATACAAAATTTTTGGCCCCAAACCCATGATTTTTCCCCATTTTGCTACACTGTCTCCCAGTCAAAAAAGCTGAGGAGTTGGTGGAGCCAGACAGACTGTAGGACAGACAAAGAAATGGAGGGTGAGACTGGTAGAGGCTACTTTCATCCTGGCATTAAGAGGACATGAAAATGAAGATTTAAGGAAACTAGAAATTCTCATCTGCAATATATACAAATGAATCTCTTATGTAGTTTTACTTTAATCTAGCTCTTACTGGATAGCTGTGGCTGAATGAACTTTGGAAATTAAACTCTGCTGCTTAAATATGCTTTGTTTTTAAAAATGACGTTGAAGTAGAAGTTTCTAGTCCTTGCCAAATCTTGCAAAGCTCCTGGAATCATCATTCCTGCTAGGAATCCCCTTCCCAACTCACAGATTCTCACCTTTCATTAGCTCAGTCTGGCATTTCCTCCTGTGCATCTTCCCCTTCTCAACCTACAGATCCAACAAGAGATGCAAAGTGACTGATTTGTATCTGGTGGGACCTCCAGCTTGAATTCCTTGCACCAGATGTACTTATTGAGCAGCTACTATGTGCTAGACACTGTGTTAGGTCCTGATGATTTAGCAGAAAATAAGGCAGACATGATTCCTGTCTTTGGTAAGCTCACAACTGTGTAGGAAAGATGCTGATGGAGCGCACCCAGGTGAGCAGGGGAGAGGCTCTTGTAGCAGAGAGTGTCAGGTCCTAGATTAGTCAATGGCAGGCGTATCACATAAGTGTTCTCTTAGGGCTTGTGAGTCCTCAAGGTGCTCCTGGCCGACAGTTGGTGCTAAAAACATATTTTCTAAACATGCAAAAAGGATTGTGAAGCATACACAGAGGAGAACTGACCTCTTCAAGTACTCTGAGCTGGAATAGAAATGAGCTCAGAGATCTTGGTTTCTTATCTTTAAGCAAAGGGGAAAGAGAACATGAAAACAGCCTACCCCTAAAAATCCATGAAGGCACACTGAGTGATTATACATTTTTTCTCTCTCTCTTTTTCTTATCTTTAATTTAAAAAGAAAGAAAGAAAGAAAGAAATCCTGGATAATTTATTATTATATTCTTTCAAGTGGTATATTTTTCCTATTGTATTTGTTAATTGAAACACTTTTTACAACATGAAAGTAATACAAAAACATATTCTCAATATAGAGGTTTAAAACAAAACAGACAAGAATGTTTCCTTTGTACCCTCACTATAAACTCATCTCCTTTCCCCAAAATGACAGCTACTTCTAGTTGGTAAATAGCCAAAAAAATCTCTCTCTCTCTCTCTCTCTCTTTTTTTTTTTTTTCTCTACCAAGTCAAAGAGACTAGGAAGTGTGCATTTTTTCTCTTCCAGTTCACATTCTTCATGAGTCACTCCACACTTTTGAATAATTATCTTACAATTTACTAGACGTTTAATCATGCACATTATTTTATTTTTATTTTTGTCGTGTAAGTTGAACTTAGATTTTTTTTAACTTGCCATTTATTTTTCAGTTAATAAAGTGTCCTAGAGATCTTTCTACACTTATCTTACAATTTATTAAGACATTTAATCATACACATTTTTATATTATTTTGTTTTATTTTTGTTAGATAAGATGAACTCCAAGTTTCTCTTCAAAGAATCAGTATGTCGGTATGTTCAGCTCTCTTATTCTTTAATTCTTCATTTTAAAGTTTAACTTCCTGGTTCTCTTTGCCCCCTTGGCTCTAGTTTCAGTAAACAACTATCCTGCCAGTTCTAATCAGTAGTTCACATCTGTTCCCCTAGTCATCTGCTTTGACCTGAGTCCTCCCTGGTCACCTGCTCTGACCTGTTCTGTAACCATTCTTCCCACCAAACTACCCACCCCACCACTCTGGCTCATACTCCTGCTCTCTTTAAAATAGTCAATCAGAATTAGCTTAGACTGTGCAGTCTAACCCTAGCCAATAGGGAAACAACACAGCAGTAGGGCCTACCTACATCAGGAATAAGAACCCCTTCCCCTTCCTTGTCCAGGTGAGCACTCACCATTGCTCCATCTGTGAGACACGCCCTTCTTTAGAAGTAAATTGTCTTGCTGAGAAAATTTATTTTCAAGTGCTACTTCTTCTGTGGCACAGAAAATTTACATATAACATTTTTTGTCAGGAAAATTGAATTTATGAGATTTTTTTTTCAACTTGCCATTTATTTTTCATTTTAAAAAGATCCTAGAGATCTTTCTGCATTAGTAGAGAAGTCCACTTTGTTCTTTTTGGTGCCTGTTTAGTACTTTGAAGCATTAATTGCTTTTCAAAAATTTTATTTTAAGTTCAGGGGTACCTATGCAGGGTTGTTACGTAGGTAAACTTGTGTCATGGGGGATGTATTGTACAGATTATTTCATCACTCAGATATTAAGCCTAGTACCCATTTGGTTATTTTTCCTGATCTTTTCCCTCTTCCCACTCTCCACCCTCCAATAGGCCCCAGTGTGTGTTGTTCTCCTCTATGTGTCCATGTATTCTCATCATTTAGCTCCCATTTATCAGTGACAACATGCAGTATTTGGTTTTCTGTTCCTCATGCACACTATTTTAAACATCAAATCATATGGAAGGGATTTTCATGAGAAGCATCCACATGAGAGATACTGCTCTCTTCCCACCCTGAGTCCTATTGCCCAGAGGAAGCTTTTTGAAACCATTTTTATTTGGTTCTTCTGGTGGTTACATCTTTATCTTTAAATAATATGTTCATTCCTCTATTTCTTGATTTATAATCTATTGGCTTTCTGCCATGATAGGTGAGAATTTAGCTAACTCACTCCTCCCTCTGTATTGGTTAGCTTTCTAATTTTTAAAAATAACTTACATCTTCATTTCTTTTTTTCATTCACCTTGTATAGGCTGTCTTAGCTTCCTATTTTATAGAACAAGAAAGTTCACATTCCTCACTTCCACCTACCCATGCCAGAAGCTGTATTTTTACTTGCTTGTCATCAAGATTCACTCTGGTTGCATCCTATTCTGCAACTAAACCAATGTCCTCCATGCTTGGGCTATGGATCGATTCTGAAATTTGAAAACCAATGAACGTTATTCTGATTATGTGGATAATGTTCAATGCGAAGCTGACTCATTTTCTGAGATTACATTTTTCTCTGTGTGGTTTCAATGTCACAATCTCTGAGTCACTCCAAGAAACATGTGCAAATGGAGTTGCCTAATACTTAACCAGTCGATCAAAATCATGCCATATATTTATTTGCATCACACTTGGTCTTTCTGGTACAGTTTTCATTATTCCTGGAGTTTCTGATGGACTCAAGGAATTTTTTTAACAGATTGTTTCAGAGCAAAATTAGGCTTTTTAAAACACAAGCCCCATACAGGAGGAAACACTTTTCTGGAGAAATAACTCCTCTCCTTTTTTTCCTGCCTCCTCAGTGTAGTATAGCAGTTAAGAACTCAACCCTGCCAGCTTGGCCAATATGGTGAAACCTCTTCTCTACTAAAAATACAAAAATTAGCTGGGCTTGGGGGTGCATGCCTGTAGTCCCAGATACTTGAAAGGCTGAGGCAGGAGAATCCCTTGAATCCTAGAGGTGGAGGTTGCAGTGAGCTGAGATCACACCACTGCACACCAGCCTGGGTGACAGAGCAAGACTCCATCTCAAAAAAAAAAAAAACAAAGAAACAAACAAACAAAAAAAACTTAACCTCTACCACCAGATTGTTTGCACCAGATTGCTTGGGCTCAAATCTCAGCTCAACCACATACAGCTGTGCAACTTTGACACATTACTTAACCTCTCTGTGTCTCAGTTTCCTCACCTATAAAACGGGGGAATTGTCATTATACCTACTCATAGGGTTGTTGTGGGTACTTAATATTTGTACAACACTTAGAACAGTGCTGACACACGTATGTACTAATTTGGTGTTGGTTATTACCATTTTCCTGGGATAAATAGATTGGACAGAATCAACTCATCTGCATTTCTTCACCAACAGCAGGGAATCACTCAGTCCATGGTTACCACTGCTCTGTTAATCCCCAAGAATTTTTAGGAGCCTCAGGGAGGACTGAGGCAAAGCCAGCAATGCAGTTGATGGAGTCCCTACCACGGAACAAGATTTGTGGTCTTTGATGGCAAATCTTGGTCCTGATTTTCTTCATGCTTGTTGATGAAGGTGGTCAAAACCTTAGGGAATAGATGTTCTAGAATATCCCCAAGATGAGCTACATCGGGAAGGCATTAGCACTTAACAACAGCAAGTGCCCTCTGAGGGCTCACATACATCATCTCACTTTGTCCTTCCAAGAGCCCTGTGGGGTATTAGACTCATTTTACTGATGAGTAAATGGAGTTCAGAGAAGTAATTGTCCCAGATTCTCAGAGCCAGTAAGTGGTAGAGGTAGAATTCAAACTTAGGTCTTTTAAATCTGAAAACTGATGTCCTTAATCCTGATGTCATAGCTCAGCATTCTCAAAGGGTGGTCTTTTATTTCCTAAGATAAAAGGGGCACTTCCTAAGATCCTTTTAAGGAACTGGCAAGGTTGAAACTATTTCAGAATAATAATACGATATGTCTGTGCATCGTGGTGCACACCTGTAATCTCAGCTACTCAGGAAGCTGAGGTGGGAAGATTGCTTGAGCCCAGGAGTTTGAGCCCAGCCTGGGCAATACAGCAAGATTCCATAAAAAAATGATTTTCTCACTGTGTTGAAATTTGCACTATGAGGCAAAAACAATGGTAGGTAAAACTGTTGGAGCTTGACCGCAAAGGAATGCTGTGGCTCAGTACTGATTGTATTTGTCATTGTCACTCACTCACAGGGGAAAAAAATGCTAGCCTCACTTAAAAATGTCCCTGACGAAGCTGCAGAAAAAGAATCAATTTTATGAAATCTCAAACCTTAAGTGCTAGGTTTATACAGTCCGTGTAACCAAATGAGAACTATGTTTTGAATACCTCAGCCAGGGTATGCTGGTGGTCTCAGGCAAAGGCACTTGTGCGACTGAGTTGCGAGCTGAACTAGCTGCTTTTTTCCATGAAACACCATATTTACTTGAAGGAATGACAGGTAAATTATGGTTATTCAGGCTTGGGTATTTGGCAGACATTGTCTCAAAAATGAGCTAAGTGAGGCTGTCACTTCAAAGAAAGCAACTGACAGTATTTGTTGCCAAGGATAAAAATTCAAGGTTTCAAGTGATAATTATGATTTTGGAAAACTTGTGTGAGCCAATGTGATTTGTTTTTACACTGTATAATGAAATGTGCCAAATTTAGAAGACCTGCGTAACTCTACGATACAATACTTTCCAAATGACCAATGCGTGATGTTACGCAATTATGCCTGGCTAAAAGACCCATTCAACATGCAGGATTAGAAAAATGGATTTTCATGTAGAAGAGCGTGAAAGGTTAATATGGTTTCAGATTCCACATTGCAACTAGCCTTTAAGATACTACCACTTGTCGAGTTTTGGTGTAGTATCAAAGAATAGTGACAGTTATTTCAAAGGCTGTTCAAATACTACTCTATTTGTTTAACTTGTGTGAGGCTAGACTTTCTTCATATACTTCAACTGTAACAAAATTAAGCAATAGATCAAATGCAGAAGCAGATATAAGAATCCATCTCTCTTCTCTTGAGCCACACATTAAAGAAATTTTCAAAAGTTTAAAAACAATCCTTCTCACTATTTTTTGTTCTGGAAAATATAGTTATTTTCATATAAATATTTATGTTAACATGCAATTGAGTTTATCATTATTTTCAAATGAATTTTAAAATAAATATTTTAAGATTTTAGGAGGGTTTTAATTCCTGATATAGGAAATATATAACCCACATAAAGTTCAATAATTTGCACACATGTAAAGGAGTCCTGAGACCAAAAAATTTGAGAGCCCCTGCTACAGCTGTATTTTAATTCTGTTGACTAACTTCAGATGGCTGAGGAGAGAAAATCAAAGAGCTATTTCCACACTTTCGTCAGAAGGTTTCCTTCTAGTTCTGTCTTTTCTTCTCCAGTGAGAAATAAAACAGTCCCTCGGTGGGTTCTGGTATCTTTTTGACTCCTCTTCAGTTGCAGCTAAGCTAAGTCATTGTTCCGCCATCACTGGGATGTAAGAGGCAACATGAGATTTCAGCAGGCACTGAAAGAGGCGTCTTTGATTAAAATGCAACCCTGCTGGTGTAAAGTTAGACAGAGCCTGGAGGATTCATAGCATCTTGCGTCTTTGTTCACGAACGCCGACAAAGCTTAGCCACCACTCCACAAAGAGCTGAGATCTGTGGTGATATTCTTTGTATGTGAGATGAAGCAAAGTGCAGAAAAACTGAGATTTTTGACCAGGTTTTTGGTGGATGGGAATTTAAATGTATACATTGTCCACCTTCTAACCTATAATTAAACACACTGTGGGTGAGGGTGGAGAATTTGGGGAAAGGGTCTAGTGGACAATCACTGAACAAACATTTCTCTTGGCCAGCGCCAGGGCTTGGTTCTTGGAAATGGAGAAATGGGCACTTGAAGGGAGGCTGTGGTATGTGGCCATTAATGTTTCAGTTTGTTTGTTTGATGTTTGGCCAACCTCACATCCATATCTCCTTTTTCTGGCAACAGTGTTCTGATTTTGGGGGCAGTTGTCATGACACCCTGTCCTCAGTCCATGTGATTTGGGTGGAACTGATTTTGTTCCATGTGATTTTGGTCCAGCCTGGCAGGACCAGCGTGTAACCTAGGAACGACCTTGAAGATTATCTTTAGGCATCTGGAGTTTATACTAAGGCAGTGGCTCCTAACAGGAACATTTGGTGATGTCTGAGACATTTTTGGTTGAGGGATCAGAAAAGCACTACCAGATCTAGTAGGTGAGATCGGGGATGCTGCTAAACACCTTGCAACGCACAGGACAGCGCCTACAACACAGAATTACCCAGTCCCGAATGTCAAGAGTACCGAGGCTGAGAATCCTGATCAAAAGGTAAAGGGGGCCAGTTACACTGGCTCATGCCTGTGATTCCAGCACTTTGGGAGGCCCAGGTGGGCAGATCACTTGCGGTCAGGAGTCCAAGAACAGCCTGGCCAACATGGTGAAACCCCATCTTTACCAAAAATACAAAAATTACCTGGGTGTGGTGACACACACCTGTAGTTCCAGCTACTCTACTGAGGAGGCTAAGGCAGGAGAATCACTTGAACCCAGGAGGCAGAGGTTGCAGTGAGCCAAGATTGTGCCACTGCATTCCAGTCTGGGTGGCAGAGCAAGACTCCGTCTCAAAAAAAGCTAAAGGGAAGCCATTGAAGATTTTTAAGCAGAGGTGCAATAGGATCTAAACTGATGTATGTATATATTTTTTTACTTTTTATAAAATCGAGATGGGGAATCTTACTATGTTGCCCAAAGTTGACTCGAACTCCTTGGCTTGTGATCCTCCTGCCTTGGCTTCCCAAAGTGCTGGAATTACAGAGATAAGCCACAGCACCCAGCTAACTGATGTCTTTAAAGTGTGGTCAGGTCCCAAGTAGAAACAGATTTTTGAGACATAAGAGGGGAGCAGGAGATAAGCCAGTGGGTATTGCAATAACTTTAGAGAGAGAAGACTCTAGGAGTGTGGAAGGAGGTATGATGTGGAAGGAGGTATGATATGGGAAATGCACATTTTGACATCATCAGTGGTAAAAGGCAGAATCTTGAATGTGAATGAGAGCTTCCAATGAGGCTGTGAAAAGTAGGAAAATAGGACCAAAGACAGGGCCTTGGGGGAACATCCATGCATAACATAAAATAATAATAGTATCTAACACTGTTTGAGAGTTTATGTGCCAGCTACTATGCTGAGTAGCTTACATGATCACATCTGATCCTTTTAACAACACTTATTATCTCCGTTTTACCGATTAAAAAACTTGGGCACAGAGAGGTTAAGTAACTGGCCCAAGGTCACACACGGAGCTGTTATCTGAGACGGAATCTAAACTCAAATGATATGACTCCACGGCTTTCCTTCTTACCTACCAAGCTGCCTCCTTGGATGGAGAAAAATCTTCCAAAAGGAAAATTACAACTCTTAACAGCTGAAAGATGAACAAAAGTTAGAGAGATGAAGGGATGGGTTGGTGCTCCAGGAAAAGGGAACAGCAAGAACCAAGGTCTGGAGGCTAGATGGGGCATAAAGAGAGCGTAGGAAAGAAGCCAAAACATACAGTAATGGCCAGAGCAGGGGTGGGGTGAGTGCAGATAACAGCAAGACTGGAGAAGTAGACGGGGACCGTGTCATGCAGATCTCTGGGCGGCATGTTAAGTAAGACTTTATTCTAGGGACAACAGAGATCCTTTGGAAAGCTTAAAAGAGAAAATTAAAGATCTCATGTAATCAGGCTTTCATTTTTGAGGCTCATTCTGGCTGAAGTGTGGGACATGGACTGGGGAATGGAAAAGGAATGGTTTTATTTATTTATTTACTTACTTACTTTGGAGACAGAGCCTTACTCTGTCACCCAGGCTAGAGTGCAGTGGTGCAATCTTGACTCACTGCAACCTCCGCCTCCAGGGTTCAAGTGATTCTCCTGCCTTAGCCTCCTGAGTAGCTGGGATTACAGGTGGGCACCACCACACTCAGCTAATATTTGTATTTTTCGTAGGGATGGGGTTTCACCATGTTAGTCAGGCTGGTCTCGAACTCCTAACCTCATAATTCGCCTGCCTTGGCCTCCCAAAGCACTGGGATTACAGGCATGAGCCACCGCACCCAGCCTATTTTTGTTTTTCTTCAGACGGAGTCTCACTCTGTTTCCTGGGCTGGAGTGCAGTGACGCAATCTCGGCTCACTGCAGCATTGACCTCCTGGGCTTAGACAATCCTCCCACCTCAGCCTCCCAAGTAGCTGGGACTACAGGGTGCACCATCACACCTGGCTGATTTTGTTTACTATTACTATTACTATTATTATTATTATTTTGTAGAGACAGGATCTCACTATGCTGCCTAGGCTAGTCTTAAACTCCTGGTCTCAAGCAGTCCTCCTGCGTTGGCCTCCCAAAGTGCTGGAATTACAGGCGTGACCCACTGCACCCAACTGAGGAATATTTGCAGACTGGTTAAGAAACATTAATGCAATAATTCCATAGCAATAATAGAGTCTCATATTAGGGAGGTGGCAGTAATAAGGACTCATTGGCCATCACTTTGGTAGATGCTTGAAAGCTGGAATCAACTGAATTTCCAGATTGTTGCATGTAAAGGTAAGGGAGAATGAGCTCAGGGGACATCTGGGTTTCTGCCTTTAACCTTTGGATGGACAGTGATGCCCTTTAGGATGAAAAGCTTAGTGACAGGGAGAGGGTGAGTCTGGTTTTGAAAGTGTTGAGTTTGCAGCTACCTTTGTAACATTCAAGCAGGGGTGTTAAAAGGGTCACTGAATGCACTGCCCAAGAACTCATGAGGGATATCTAGTCTAATCACTTCCATATATATGGAGCTATGCCTTTTTGATCAGGAAACAGTCAAACATGTACATTCCAACCACTGCTAATTCTAACAGAGGCAACTGGTGAAAGGCCATTAGCTGAGGTTCCGTGTGGCAGATGAACTGACGTTAAAAGTCTGAATGCAACATCAGGAGGTCACTGCCAGTCTAATTAGGCTCAGATAGAGTTTATTGGGTCGTGGAAAGCCAGTTGTGCGTAACCATCATTTCAGCCCCCTCTCCTTCCATTTTTGACTTGTCATCTGGCTTTGAGTGAACATTAAAGTATCCTTTCATAAATGGTGACCTTTAAAATTTGAAATGATGGTTTCTGGCTAATTTCCATTCCAGCCTTAGGGCTGCTGCTTGAAGTTCTTGACTAGTTTCTAGCCCTGTGCTCTCAACCATAATTTGGAAAAGGGCAGTGTTGTTTTCGTCCTTAAAAATGCTCATCATTTGGGTGAAGGATCATCATTCATAATTGTGTGACCACACACTGTTTGGGGATGAAAAATGTACTAGGTGCAGAGTTTAAGCTAATAACAAGACCACACCTAGCCAGGCTCAGTGGCTCATGCCTATAATCCCAGAGCTTTGGGAGGCCGAGTTGGGGGGATTGCTTGAGGCTAGGAGTTTGAGACCAGCTTGGCCAATATGATGAAACCCTGTCTCTACTAAAAATACAAAAATTAGCCGGGTGTGGCGGCACATACCTATAATCCCAGCTACTCAGGAGGCTGAGGCATGAGAATTGCTTGAACCTGGGAGGCAAAGGTTGCAGTGAGCCGAGATCAAGATTGAGCCACCGCACTCCAGCCTGGGAGACAGAGCAAGACTTTGTCTCAAAAAACAAACAAACAAAAAGAGACCCGATTTGTTCTGGAGAATTTGGGAACATTTTGTCTGAGGTCACAATAAAACAATAATATGGTTGTATTATTGTTGTAAGTGACAGAAAACTAAATTCTAATTGACTTCAGAATAGGAAAAAGAGAGAAAAATGCTATTCATTCATATACTGAAATAATCAAGCTATGGCTGGATGCAGGGGCCAAATTCACAAGGACATTATGTCTTTCACTACTGTTTCCTCTGCTTCTTCTCTGTTGACTTCATTTCAGAGTAATGGATGGGATACTCAGGGATTCAAGATGGGGAACAGCAGCTCCCAGGGCTATATTCTGTTTTGTTGTTGCTGTTGTTTGTTTGTTTGAGACAAGGTCTCACAGGGTCCCACTCTGTCACCCAGGCTAAAGTGCAGTAGTGCAATCTCAGCTCTCTGTAATGACCGCCTCCTGAACTCAAGTGATCCCCGGGCTTCAGCCTCTAGAGTAGCCAGGACTACAGCCACACACCACCATACCCAGCTAATTTTTTTGACTTTTTTTTTTTTTGGTAGAGACAGGGGTCTTGCTATGTTGCCCAGGCTGTTCTCCAGCTCTTGAGCTCAAGTGATCCTCCCGCTACCTTAGCCTCCCAAAGTGCTAGGATTATAGGCATGACCACTGTGATCAGGAGGGCCACATTCTTGAACCCACGATAACAGCACGAGCTTCCTTCCCAGCAGGCAAAGGTCTCATTGTATTTTACTGATTTTCTTTGATTAGGTCACATGTCCATTATTGAACTAATCACTGCAGACAAAGAGTCCCAAAAGGCTGATTAGTTTAAGCCTAAGTCATGTGATTTAATCTTGGAGCAGGAAGCGCATAGATCCCCAAAGATAATTATGATGATATTGATCCATTGCTACATGTTCTGACCAGCATAAATGCTTTTTGTGTGTGCTTCTCATGACAACACTTTGAGATAGATGCTATTGTCATCACTCTTTTAATGATGAGGGAAACCAAACTATAACAAAATGAACCAACTTGCCCAGGACCCACAGCTGGTAAATAACAAAAATGCAGGTGTAGAGAGAGGTGACTGTAACCTTTCCAAAAACCCACAAATGGTAAACAATGGAGCCACTATGCAAATTCAGGCAGCCTTTCACCAGAGTATAGGCTCTAAACCAATACTCTATGACACCACCTTAAGTTAGGGTAGGGTTACCAGATGTCCACTGTAACTCAGCAGTTTTCAGTTACAGCGAGCTTTCAAACATGATTTTATTTTTCATCACAACAACTTTATAAAGGAGACTGGACCTGGAAGCATGATCTCCGTTTTCCCATGAGGAAATTGAGGTTCAGGTTC